GCCGGTATTTACAAATTTGATATTTCTAAAATTGTTGAGAGGTAGTTCATCAACTGTATTGATTTCGTTCTACTCTATGCAATTTCGAATATCCTCAAAATGATAACTATCCAACAAAAACAGTATTTCAACACTGTATGAGTACTTTCAACAATCAATGTGAAATCACAATAAGGCCAAACAATACAGGTGGCAGCTACATTGATAATAAGGTCTGTTAATAGATTCTTTGTCGCTATTACCATGATACGTTAGAACATATTTCAAAGGCATAGTTGGTGCAGTGTAGACTAATTTTGCAAAAAAAAGGAAAAAGAAAAGAAAAAGAAAGAATTTTCAATAGAACCTGTTTGAGACTTCAATGGAATTAAACTTTTTCGACTTGATTTGTGGTACGGCACTCAAGCATGCATTTGTCTGTAAAGCAATCATTCACAGATTTGGAAAGTTTTTTTTTTTTAAATATAATGGCAGGCGGCGACCAATAGACCTCTGACTGAAGCTTTTACGTACGCAATGCATTGTAGGATATGTTTGGGACAGAACATGGAGGATTTCTTTTGTTTTTTCTTAGAAACTGATCGCATAATGCATTAACAATCAAGTAGTGACGTAAAAGCTTCAGACGTCTATTTGTACGGGGTCCCAAGTGTAAGGACGCCATTTTGTAAGCGGCGACCAATTGGCTTGAATTTCGCAGGCAAAATTAAGTGTAGGAACGCCATTTTGGGGCACACATGCAAAGTGTAAGGACGACACTCCCTTGTAAGCGGCGACCAATTTGCTTGAGTTTCACAGGCAAAGTATAGGACGCCATTTTGTAAGCGGCGACCAATTTACAAGGTGTAAGGACGACATCTTGTAAGCGGCGAACAATTTGCTTGAGTTTCACAGGCAAAGTGTAGGACGCCATTTTGTAAGCGGCGACCAATTTGCAAGGGGCCCACATGCAAAGTGTAAGGACGACCATCTTGTAAGCGGCGACCAATTTGCTTGAGTTTCACAGGGCACACATGCAAAGTGTAAGGACGACACTCCCTTGTAAGCGGCGAACAATTTGCTTGAGTTTCACAGGCAAAGTGTAGGACGCCATTTTGTAAGCGGCGACCAATTTGCAAGGGGCCCACATGCAAAGTGTAAGGACGACCATCTTGTAAGCGGCGACCAATTTGCTTGAGTTTCACAGGGCACACATGCAAAGTGTAAGGACGACACTCCCTTGTAAGCGGCGAACAATTTGCTTGAGTTTCACAGGCAAAGTGTAGGACGCCATTTTNGGACAAGGTTTTGACAGTAGAGGTGCTTTATATTATCATTTTCTTATATGACCGTGTATGCACCTAATTGCAATAATTCTGAGCCACCTACACTAATATTCATATTTAGTATTACCATGACTAGTGGACTATATTGCAAATCCTTCGTTCTGATTGGCTTCGTTACTTGGGATCTGTTTATTTTCAATAGTCCTCGAGTCGAGTCGACGACTAGCGTAAAGCGACACCTTTTTTGCATGCATTATCAGCTCGTAGTCCACTCGCCCTCGATATCCAATTGTTAAATATTAAACTGACCTTTAATATTATGGTATATCACGACTGATATATATATTTTCCGGTTGTCCAGAATGAGTTCTAAAAATAATATAAGCAACGGTATCCCATAATTTCTCAAGCTACTTTGATATATGTGAAGTACTCTGCATGAGATCAGCGGTTAGCTTGTTGTAATCAAGAGAAAGGCTAAACTCCACCAACTTAGCATTATCAGGCTGATCCCCAAATAATGGAATCGAACCATTGGAACTCCGCGATACGCTGCCTCGTAGAGACTGTTTAGTCCAACATGAGACACAAACAAGCGTAGTTTTTTGTGGGATAACAAGTCACTCTGTGGTAGCCAAGAARCAGCTTTATTAATGTTGGGGCTGAGAGACGCTGGTTTGTACCATTTGAAGGATATATGATAGTGTCATTTTATTTACCGACATAGTATGGGTGTTAATGTCACATTCCACCATCTCACGCCCGTTTTTAAAAGCCTCTAAATCACTTTTAGTCTTAATCTACCAAACGCCTCAGCCATGATGTCAACTTTTTCTTTGGACATTGACGCAASATTGGATCCAAAAGACACGATGATGGCCCCATCATCATCAGAACTGTCAATCAACTGCTGTAGATCAGGGGGGGAGGGTCTTGACTGGTTGGATGTTTACTGGGCCAATCATTTCATAGTGTGAACAAAAAACGAGAGCAGATGTAATGATTTTGTTATGAGAACAAGAATGAAAGAATGAACAAAGAGATGGTTCTAAATAATCTGACAGCACGTGGTCACAAGGCATTGAACTCAGATCAAGAGATCAAAGCTTTTGTATTAGCGTATTTGGGTCAGAACTAGCCTGTTCCACATGCAACTTTTTTTTCCTCCTTTGGGCTTCCTTTGCAACGGTCATTTTGGYCGTTAGGGACTAGTGACGAGATAGGAAAAATAAGCTTCCTTTTCTCGCTCCCATTCTCCCTCTTTTAACTCCTCAAAAAGACAGGAAGCCCGTGATTCTTCCTGCGGAGGAGGCTAGCTCATCAGAATTATTGCAAATAGCTGTATTAGAGGCTGGACGTGASTAAATAGTGATATGATTGGTTGATGCGAAGAAGAAAAACTGTCGTTAAATTTTATGTTCAGTGTTATCTTTGWATTACTTTTTATCCAGTGAAATTGGTCCATGTTGGTCATATAATAAAACTATTATTAACTGAGCTTACTTGTTCTAGATAGAAAAATCTAGACCTTTGACAGTCATGCAGTCTCGCTGCCTCGGTTCGGCGGTCTGTACTTCCCGACAGCGGTCTAGGTTTTTCCATGTATGCGGTTATAAGACCTGTAGATCACATGTTATTTGAGTTTTAGATTGTTGCTCTAATATGACTTTGAAGTTACCTCCGCCATGTTTTGGTGTCCCTGAAATAGGACTCAAGCCGATCGACTCCATACTTTCCTAATAAAAAAACGTCTCAAGTTCGTTCGCCTATAAAATTCCAAAATAACATCTGACTTCGAAATTTTCACAAAGTTCTGAGATTTGAATGTTTTACTATATATATCTGAGGACCAAAACAAGGTATTTAGTGAGTGGTTTGAGATTTTGACGTGAGTGAAACCCGACGTAATAGCCAAGGAGTCCAATTAGCACAGCCAGTGATACTAAAAAATGAAACATCCAACGTACTTCTACTAGTTTAGATGGAGACAAATCGAATATCCTGAATACCGATTTAAAAGCCTCGAGATACTCTTCCKCCTTTTSTCTACTAAACAAATAKAACAATTGCGCACCGTTTGAGTTCCAGTTTCCTGTCACTTTACACACTCTAATTAGCCAATCAACGTGCACTGTTTTGATAAAAAGTTATGCTGATTGCTTTTRATRAATTCATGCTTTCAGACGATGGTTTAAATTCAGTGTATTAAAAACAAACTATAAATCTAGAAAAATATTCGAAAATAAAGTTGAAATGTAATTTCGCTAAAAAAACTAACATTTTGGCTTTTTTAACCAAACTTTCTCTGAAATCCCTGTAAGCAAGTCTTACAGTTAACGAGTCTTATACGAATTACAAATCTCTTCACTCTGCGCCGCCTGCCTCAACAGAAACGTCACTGCTTACATCCATTTTTTGAAAAAGAAAGAAAAAAAGAGAAATGAGGACAACTTTCGAAAAAACTATGATCGAAGCAAAAGTTATGAAAACATAAGCCATTGCATTCGACAAAATGATACTTTGTAATTATCAATTTTAACCAACAAAAAAAAAGAATTATTTTCACAAAAGGAAAAAGATATAAGTGGACTCAATAGAATAATCTTTAAAATTTCTGGAGATATTTTTTTGGTATTTTTTTCTCTTTAGCTTTGGTATGGGTCTGGACAGGGACGTCCCTGGTCTGGACAAGAATAATGATAGACTCTTTACTGCTGAACACTTCCGGTTAAGATGACTTCCGGTTGTTTTATTTCCGGTTAAGAGGTTATCTCCTTTGAAAATCAATTTTAATGGTAAATGACTGAATTTTAAGACAAAAGAGAGTAATAAGTTCTCATGGCGTTTAAACGTTGTGTTTGTTGTGAAAACTGTGCCAATTTTATTTMATTGTTGGCGTCGCTTAATGAAATATTCATAAAGTTATTTTAATTCAGAGCTGGTCTCAAAACAACATTGACTCAGCCTTAATGCTTGCCTGTCAACTTCACAGCTCTCGCAAAACATACAGGAGAAGGCTTCTTCTCGTTGGTTGTAACTTATACCACTTGTTTAAAATTACAGCTCAAAGTTCAGTATAAGATTCCAATAGTAATGGCCGAAGGTAGCAAACCCGAGGAACTTGAAGGTGAGTCGTTCGYTGATATTTTGCATCTATAATTTGTCTCTGCAAACATTTCATGGTATTATATATGGGAATGTGTAACTATAAAGTTTTCACTGCGATTTCAAATCTGCAATTTCATTTAAAATAGCCCTAAAGCTAAATCGTTATGTGAATTGACGAAYAGTTGTGTCTCGATCGAGTTGCGGTCAAAGTTTCCTAAGTTMTTTRRAGGCTCACAAGACTTTTATTAATTTGARGTATTTTCTTTGACAATAATTCCAGTTGTCATTGGCAAATAACTCCACGCTTGTTTCAGTTTTATCAAGGAGTCGAGGCTGTTTTTGTAATTTCACCAGTTTAGAGTTCATTTAATTCCACTYCAACTTGGAAATGCAATTTGAATATTTCATAACAATAAAAATTTTTAATGAACTCTTTCTTGTTTGTAACTTCAGCTATTGCATAATGCTTGTCTTATGGTTATCCATTAAAGTTGATAGCATGTTTCCTTATACTTTTAGTGATAAAATTGCCCGCAAATGGCAATTTCTGTAATACATAGTACAACCCACTAAATTATTCATGATTCACACCTGCAAAATGAAACTTTTTCTTCTAAAGTGTGTTTACAATTTATTTGAAAATAAAATCATTTTGTATCTCTATTAGTTTAATTCATCTGATATTTTTTCCTAAAAGCAAACTTTTACTACAAATATATTTTTTATTTTTCATTTTTCTATTTAAGTTATATGGATAGAATAGCTATGTAACAGGTGGTCACAACTAGACAATAAAGCTTAAATTGTAAATATATTTTTATAATTTTAATATTTTTAATTTGTACATACATTTTTATAATTTTTAAGAAATCTGTTTAATTTTTTGATCAAAATGTCACTTCCATGCAATGTGTTCTGTTTTTTTCCCCATTTTTCATTTCCCATTTTCAGTGAAATGAAAGGTGAAAAATGTTATATTTAGTAATTTCACTCATTGTTTGAATTGAGTAGGTCTTAGCACTTGTTCATTAGGCTAAGTACAATATTAATATTAACATCAATACTTCTCTTTTATTGATATTAAATAAAACAAATTTGTATGCGAAGACAAAATGCAAAMTAGTTTTAATTCTTCTTCCCATTTAACTACTGACCTCTGTGTCARCTACTCTTATTGGATCTAAGTGGGGTGTCTTATTTTCTTAAATTTATTCCCCTCTACTGATACTAGGGGTGTCAAATGGAATACTAGTATGAGCCTTGCAGAGTCTGTGAGCCCCTCATTTTAAAATTTGAGCCGGATGTCTTTGGCTGAACATTAAGTATTTTAAATCTGAGTCCCTTAGGAAATTTTTGGTGAGCCTCGTGATTTCTGAGACAGCATAATACTATACCCCTACTGATACTGTAGTTCAATGTAAAGTATCGAGTGATTAAAGTCGACCATCAAATAATTGCATTCRCTCTTTACATGTAACCATTTGTTTGTAAAAAAGTCATTTCTATTATAAAACTCGCACTTGAAAAAGGAGAAAATTAAAAATCTCCCTACAATCACAAAACAGTCAATTTCAGCAGTGAAAAAGGAACAACCTTCTAATGGACTGTTTTAGCAGACATGAAAAATGTGAGTACAACTCCCATCATGCTTTGTTGCAAAAAAGAAATTGGCATTCCTGTACATTTCCTATTTTTGACATTGAATAAAACCCTTGATTAGTAATTATTTTCTGATAAGTATCAAGTTTAAGTGTAAATTAAATGCCTATCATTGGTTTTGAGCTGTTATAGACGATTTATTTTGTCCTACAGAATACATTACTATTAACACAGGCTATTTTAGTTTTCCAATTTATCAATGCCGCCTTCATTCTCAATATCACTATGGCAACTGTAGTTATTATGTAAATGTCTTCTTTTTATCAATACCATGGATATATGAGATTCATACTTGGGATTTGGCTGACTCCATCTTCTTTTTTTTAATTTCCTTTTGATTTTAACTTACCATTTCATTTCTCATTTTCATCTTATCTTTATGTATTTCTCTTTTTACCTGTACTATGATCATCAACTTGCATAATTTTGTTAATTTTATTTCAAGTTTTTCATGTTCTGCATATTRTTCATGTTCAATTGTTTTGTCATTCAGTGTATGACTGCTGGATTAGGATGCAGAAAGGGTCACAGTTGATGAAACTAACAGGAAAAGCAGGCGAAAAAGGACGAAAACCACAGAAAAAGACTTTCCTTCTTGATGAGAGAAGGATTTCCATCCACTATGAGCCGACCAAGAAAAAACTCATTAGATGTAAGAATTGCTTATGATTATTCATCTTTATCATCAATTATCGTCATCTTAACCTTTCTTCTATAATGATATTTGTGATTGACAACTTTTCTCATCACCATCATCAATTATCATCATAATCCTTGACATCATTAAATATCACTTATGATTTTCATCATGATTATAGTCAATATCCATTTGTAATAATGTTGTAAATTATTTTTTTTTGTTATTAACATCACTTGTCATCGTTATCATTCACATCACTAAGCATTGCTTATTAATATTCATCATTATCATCAGCAATGACGTCACGTTGAGCATCATAGTCAATTCCTCCTACAACCCTGAAGCCAACGATAATATTATCGCTAATAGTACATTCTTTCCACAGATGAGATCGCTCAGATAACCGACATCCAGGCAGGTGATGAGGTCAAGAGTATCTTTGGTGATCTGGGCAAGAAATACCCACTAAACACATGTATATCGATCAAGTTCGGTGATGACAAGACTCTTGACCTGATCGCTTCATCTGAATGTGAAGCCGATGTGTGGATTTATGGCCTGAAGACCTTAATCGATAACAAAAGTAAGAGCGGATACTTGTAGGGCAGGCCTGTATGCAGGGGTGACAGTGTACCCGTGACTTCCCTTTTTAAGCTCCGTTACGATGTGCAACGTGTTTCATTAAGACGTCGGAGAATTTGGTTTTACTGAGACGTCATTCAAAAAACTGTGCATATTACCGCATTGCGTTAAAAAAGGCCCGAGTTATAGTGTTATACTACGATTCTCCAGGAAATTGCATCGCTGTGTTTGATAGGCTGCTGTTGGAAATTTGCGCAAGTGTAACAACGTCAAAAACTTTATAAAAACAATTTCTAACTGCAGACGCAGGAGGAGCCGACGGGTTCCTGGGAGAAATATATCTGTTCTTATGTCCCAGCCAGCTGTAAGTCGCAACTGTTTGCCAGCGAGAAATTCAGGAAAAAAAAGAACTCTCCAGGCAAGGAATACTTTCTAAGAATTTTTGCCAGGGAAATGAAAATTTCCTAACTAAAAAAATAAAAGCCTTTTTTGACCATAAAAACGTTATATAAGCCTTTTCGCCGTTAAAAACTTAAAAATCCCTTAAAAATTCCCTTCCGAGGAAAACATTCGTACAAGAACAGTTATTTAGAAGAACAGACACCGTCGGCTCCACCTGCAGACGAACTGCGTCAATATATCGTCATAGTTATAATTTGATGTGTAGTCCTGTATGAATTTATGGCATCATTGACACAACTTCAGCAATGTCTGTCGGTCGCTCAAACATAATGATCATTGCCATTATATAAATATAAAAAAACTTCGATTGGGAAGATAAAATCAAGAGAAAGGTAAACTGTCTGCTTTTAAATTTCAATCATTCGGCGGGATACGTGTCTTAATTACTGAAGTTCCTGGCCAAACTGAGAAACATTGAGGGTACAGTTACCAATTGCAAATGTAGTGCGTAACATATATACCTGAACACAATGAGATGGTCTTCTGGACAGAAGGACCAGGCAGACGTCGACCAGATCGAGCCGACTTAATACCATAATTGACGAGTACACACTAATTGTCAAAAACACACTTCTTTCAGATAATGAATTGTACTTTTTATTCGTAGACAACATCAAAAGAGATCAAGCTCTTCGACAAAAATATCCTTTTCTGTAATTAATGAATCTCACTCAATTGCAAGAGAGGAATTAGTGCTCAATCCAGGAGGGGGAGGGGAGGGGGTGTTTGTTTATTAGTGCACCGTTCACGCMTCAGATATGACGTAATAATTGGAAACAAAAAATATGTACGTTTTGTAGAATAATGTGTTATATGTGTAAAATCAGAACATTGCAGTTTTTAATTAAGTTGATTTTGACGTTGTGGAATTATAGGTGCACTGTTTCTCTTGAAGTGCTGTAACTTTGACTTAAATTCGGTCGATGTCCTTCGGTCAATGACTTATCTTGCGCTGTCCGTATGTATATGTAACTTTCCTTGATTAACATCGTYTATTTATACTGCTTAATTTACATGCCACATTTAATTGAGTGAARATAACGCAGGCACCTTTAGGTCGTTTGTTGTATGGTCACATGCACCTCATGAAACCAATCAATGACGTAACTGTATTAGCATCTTATTTGAAGGAAAACGACATAAAAAATTGATGAAGATACTGTGACTTGATAAAAAAATGTTCATTGAGTAAGAAAAATGGATCTATAGTCTACGATTATCTATAGTCGCTCCTCCCTTCCCTAACAAATTTCTAATTTCTGGGTGCGCCCCTAGTAATGACTGAAGCGCTAAAATGGTGTATCTAAAATGATGCCGGGGGGAGGGGGGGGGGCGTAATTGACTTACGATCCAAACGTTACCAGCGCTTTTGTAATGTTGTAGGCCCTTTTTTTTAGATAAATTCTTTATTTACTACAAACAAAGAATGCTAGTGCGATGGTAGTGYGATGAACAATTCAGTATTTTTGTTGTTATCCTTAATCATTGTTTAAATGGCTGATCGATGCGTTTGAAAGGTTTGACAAGAATAAAGATGGCTCTCTCAGTGTCAATGAAGTAACTAAACTATTGAATGGTCTCAATGTCAACATGACGCCCAAGACAATCAAGAAGAAATTTAATGTACGTAGTCAGCTAACTTTATATTAAAGGACGAACTAAACTTTTGTTTACAGCTATCGCATGTAACAAGACATCTTTAAAACTTGTCTGTTTTTTGTTTTTTGATTACAGTTTTTATTTTTCATTTTGACTCAGTTGTATCTAATGCAGGGTTTATATGAATCCTGGTTGTATACAACTGTCGCAGAGACTCATTTAATTGTTTTTACAGTCAGTTGTAAGGATGACATAGACACGTTGCATGCCGCGATGGTTGTCAACATAGGCAAAAATTTGCTATATCTACGGACGCGCTTGTGACCGTGAACTTTCTAAGAAATCATTGTCTGCTGTGTCGGGCAATATTGTCCGTAATAGTTTAGAGCAGGGCGTCTCGGTTTGTCCGTAATACCAAAGTGTATATAAGGCGAAAGTTAAATGTGCATATTGATAAAATTCCAGGGCAAGCTGACAGTTTTAGGTAGAATAGGATAAATGAGATACCGAATATATTCATTCTAGCTGATATTCAACATCGAATAGAATAGGAGATTACGTGAGAGCAATATAAAACCGAAACATTGCTCTTACGTAATCTCCTATTCTATTCGACGTTGAATATCAACTAGAATGAATATATTCGGTATACCATATTGATAAAAGCCATTATCAATTTGTAACATTCAGATTCTGACACAGGAACGTCCTGGAGTTAGAGTCTAGCTGTAGCATTTAAGTATCACATTCAACTAAGTTGCTTTGTCCAGTGAAAACTATATCAGACTAAAACATTGTTTCGGTGGATCAAACAAACGGAAAGAAATGTCGAGATTTGACGCAGCCATTATTATACAATCACATATTGTTCATTTATCGATTACAAATTCTAGGAAGCCAACACACAAGGTGGCGATTCTGTATTGGATAAAGAAGAGTTTGCTGAGTTCTTCAAATCGATTGTTACTCGGGAAGAGATCGTAGAGATCATGAAGACATCACCGAATAGAACTCACATGAACATCCGGGACCTACAGGATTTCCTGGAAAGAGAACAAGGGGTGAGTGGATTGGAGATAATATAGGCATGTGCGAATAACATTTCTGAACCCAAAGCTCTAGACAAATGAAAAATGTTGGATTATTTAACAACCAACCGCTGTACGTACCTTGCGAACCGAAGCGCCATTTTAGGTGGACATGAAAATGGCGGATTCGTAGGATTTCTGAAAGAGAGCGCGAATTGTCTTCCATCCTTTCACTGACAGAAATACCTTTCACTTAGTACCTCACAGGTACTATCAAACTATAATCTATTTTATGCTTGATGCATTTAAACGTTTGTAAACAATAACACGAGCGCGCGCTGTATTGTGGTTGGTTGGGATTCTTTAAACATTATTATTGGAGCATATAACACCGAGAAAATTCTTGGATGGTCAAACTGCTTTGAACAGCACACAACAAACAAGAAAATAAATTCTGAAGACAGTTTAATAGTGTTTGCGTGACTCAATATTTCTCAATGTCAGGAGTTTGGGATTTTTTAAACGTGATATTTAAAAATGTAAAATGTCATGTTTTTTTCTTTGCTGAAGATGAAGGATGTGACCACACAGTACTGTGACATCATCATAGACACCTACGAACCTACTGAAGATGGACAGGAAGCAAGAGAGCTTGGTATTGACGGTAAGTTGACAATAATTGCCTCGCGTGATACACACACCACACAAACTAAGGTCTAAGAGGTCTGTAGTAAGCACGTTCTGCGCGTCATACATACAACACGAATTGCATCGTGTAAATCAAGCCTACAACTCACTACAACTTTCTAAGTCAAGTTGAAAACAAGCTGTGCGCGTCATACATACAACACGAATTGCGTCGTGTAAATCAAGCCTACAACTCACTACAACTTTCTAAGTCAAGTTGAAAACAAGCTGTGCGCGTCATACATACAACACGAATTGCGTCGTGTAAATCAAGCCTACAACTCACTACAACT